GCACCACTTACATGTGGGTGGCCAAAAACACTAGGGGCGATATAAGATAGTGGGTGACCATGAAAGGTTATTTCTTCCTTTGGACCGACGACATTTGAAAAGCTCAAAGTTGTGCTATGGATCACTTTCCTCACAAGAACTACACTTGCCTGCATTTTTAATGTTTTTTCTCACAATGTGTACATATAATAAACAAAACATATGCATGATTAATCCAATATATATCAGGATTTAGATTTCACCTTGAGCCCAAGAACTTTTAGTAACAATTTAAAGAAGGCCATGGAGAATACAGCCTCGAGGGAGTCTTTTTTGCGGTCAACCGTGACTTTAGCTCGGCGCACATATTCTAGAGGATCAGTCTCTAGCCCGACCGAGAAGGGTAGAAGAATGTAACCGAAGAGATTCCCCCATCTGCATTTCGATTTCTTGGCCATCATATCTGCTAGAGCCTATATTGCATCATTGAACAACAATGTAACACAGTCAGTTTCAAATTATTTAGTTTCAAAGTTTCCAAGATTAAACATTTATATACCTCAATTCCTGTGTTTGGTCTCAAGTTAATCATAATGGCTGAACGAAGTCGGATTCTCCTCATCAACTCTTTCGATTTCACTGTTCCTTCTTGTTCTATTTTGAAATATATGACAAGAGCTTCTTTAGATGAGTGTGAACACTAAATTACTATTTATAGAAACTATAATGTAAAACTAACTTTTACCATATCTTCGACTAAGATACCGCGAAAGTCCGGCTTGTGTTACTCCAAGAAGAACATCGTTTACCGTCTAACAAAGTATATTAGTAAGCTATATGAGATTCTTTGAATTAGGAACACAATGGAAAAAAAAAATTACCATTTTCATTGCATTTTTCACAAGCTTAACATCGTCGAAGCTGATGATCCGGTGTACGAACCTCTTAGGGTTAAGTTCACTACTGATTTTCGCCAAGAGAGGAGTCTCCGTATCCCTCAAGAAACATATTGTAAGAGCAAACATCAAGACATCAAAAAAAGTGTTGAAGACCAATCTTATAATGAACCAGAGCGCTACAAATGACCAACAAATCTTGTTGAAAAAACCGCTGTAGCATCTCGGTCCAAAGCGTTTTTTCTGAACCGCAACAGTAGGCAAGGCCTCAGGATCTGATGTTTTGCGAGTGCAAGCGAGGAAAAGAGACATGAGAGACATTCCATCTCCCAAAGAATGGTGGATCTTGAGAATTCCAATGGATTCGGCGTTTGATGTTTTGAGACAGAGTATGTGAATTTCCCATAATGGTTTAGACAAATCCAGAGGAACGGTCGTTAACTTAGAGATATAGTCTTCAAGAAACTGATCAGGATTTTTAGTGTCGGGATCTATAACCGGAACAATCACATGCTCTTCTACTCTAACTTTTGTCCGAACCCAACTCGGTTTCCCTTTCTTCCCATTTTTCATGTCCTGGATTCATCATGAGAACAAAAAAAATCATAAAAAATATACCCATGATTTCATATTATTTTGTTCTTTTTGGTTAATGATCATTATATTGCAAAAAAAATATATATATATACAGAAGATTGCTACATATATACACACAGAAGATTGCTTGACCATTTCCTGTATGATGACAAGAACAAATGACTCTTAACATGTCATAACTTCAATGATACAAACACGGTAAGAGAAAATGAGTTTACTGTTGAATATTCTGAACTAAATTTTCATTTTCTCCTATATAACTCTCGTTCATGTTC